CCATAGGAATAGCACTCCTAGTGACCATTAAGTTCTTACATATTTCTTGAAAGCAGATATTTTTGCAGAGGAGACCGTTTCTGTAAATGTCTCCTTTGAGCTGATGAGTGCAGGTCTAAGCTCGTTCAGCTCCAGAGTATTCATTAAGGAGATGGCCCTTATAAATACCGGGAAAGACTTCTTTACTGTACTTGGTCAGCCACAACAGACAACCTGTAGGAAATCCAACCTTGTTGGCTCTCATGCTTACAATTTAAGAGGGACTGAAAATAATCACCACTAGGCCTGATTGAAACGTTAGGGGTGCTTTAGGATGGGAAGAGCCCTCACCACTCAGAGCAGCTTGAATTGTCACACTGGTCTTTCATTTTCCATCTTCCCCTCCACATATTTCTAGTATGCGTGAATAAATTAGAAGGTGAGAGACATATATTCACTTCCTGTGGTTTTGTTGTTCTTCAACTTCCTCCTCTGTATAATGGGGGAAAAAATGAAGTGGTATTAAAATGCTAGGGAGAAAATGTTTTTACTGGGGTCAAAGATACTTCATGATGAAACAGGTCTCAAGTAGGGTAGAAAGAAAAGAATCACAGACATGCCCCTTACTTGAAACTGTTTTAGGAACAAAGGCAGCAGGTGTCCTTTGAGTGTGGGAATCAGTGACAAAACCAGACTATTTGTAGCTATGCTTTTTTTATTTAGGATATCTTAACAAATCATGTAGTTGTGAATATGCATGTGTAAAATACAAAGAGTAAAAACATTATTTCTTAGATTAATAATTATAGATAATGAGCATATTCCACCTACGTATTTTCTATAACCCATGCATTTCTGCAAACGGGTCCGTGATGACTGTTAATCACTTATGAAATCTTTCATAAATCCAACATTACTGTGGTGTGTCAACACCTTGCTGTGTTTTTATTTAGTTCTTAAGGCACCTACAAGAAATTATGATTCATTTTTCCCTATTTCCTACTCCAATCCCTAAGATTCAAAGGAAAAAATCAGAAATGCATCTGAACAATTGGTTCATATTGGTAAGCATCAAATTAATTAAGTAGTTCATTTCCAGTTACTTAAGTTTATATTAACAACTTGTCAGGTTGTTACACTTGACATGTTGCACAACATCTATTTGCATCTGACTTATCTTGATATCTAGACCACCTGTCCACTGCTCTGAAGTCTAATGGCTCTGTGGCCTTGCATCTTGCTTAATGCTCCTGCTCTTTCCAAGGCTCCAGCACTACTTCTGTAGTTCTTTGGACTTTCTCCAGCTGTCTGAAGATCTTTGCTCTTTTTTTCATTGTGGATTTCACAGATATTTCCCTGGATTTCTCCTTTTTTCCTCTGTTCTCACCTCCTTTTATTTTTTTCCTTATGATATGATTAGATCTGCCTGCCAGCCACTTTTGATCTCAATTTAGATTTTTAGGACTTTATGGCAATTTTTATATCCTTCTGGATCTGTCTGTCTTTAAAATAGTATGATGCAAGGGCTGAAGAAACCTTTCTTTAAATCCTTCCTTGTTATTCCTCCCCAACTCACAAATCTGGTCTTTTAGCAGAACTTTTCTGGTTTTGTTTCTTTACTTGTCTTCACCTATTGCATTTTGCCAGTTTTGTCATTCATTTCCTATAAAATCTGCCCTTCTTCTCTCACCCATTTCCAAGTGTTGATTGTGTGTCATGCAGTACTGCAATTACCTTAATTCTACTAATAAATGTAACCTTCAGAATAATTTCTACTACATTGGTAACAATGCTTAGGACTGGTAGAAGTATTGAGCAGGGGTGGTCAGACAATTTTTAATGATTCTTCTTAAACTAGTCTTGTCATAACTCATACATTCACCAATCCAGAGGAGAAAATGGATCTTCTGAACTCTTTTTGATTGATTCCTGTTGTTTGGTCTTCCTGTAGAATTACTGCTAGTGTGGAAAAGTACTTTCTGAGGAGATGGTACATACTGCTCTATTTACGGTGTAGGTTTTGGTGACCAGAAATAGTTACCTAAGCTGTCTCTGGGCAATCTGGTGGGTGGGCAACCCAGTCATGAGATTCTGGCTTGGTGAATGTGTGAATTGTGAGATCAGTGATTTTACAGGTCAAACAAACTTGCCCTGTTATCCTGCTCAGAATTACCATCCAGTACTCTGTGTTGCTAAAGTTAGTGCAGCTATTTATAGCAATTAATTCAGCATGTTATTTCTCTAACGAAGGCCTGAATCAGTAAATAGATTAAGAAGCATGAATAGGCAGGCAATTTCTTTAAGTTGTGGTTGCCTCTCTGACACAGTATTAAAGCAGTGACGTGCATAGATTTATAACTGTGCTGTGCTCTGAGTTTTCTGTTATAAATACTTTCCTGAGCAAAGCTTCGCCTGTTTATGTTTTTAGTGATGTTCATTTCTCTTTCTGTTGCTAATGTTGTTTTACAGATCCTTAAGAACTATCGGGTTTGTAAGGGTAGTCAATAGTCACTGCTCAGTAATAAAACATAGACTAAAGTTTATATATAAAGTTTTATATAATATTGTCCTTACATAAGGTAGTTTTAAACTTTGGAGACAGTGAATGCTTAGCATTTTAAGCTACTTTAGCACTCTGTATCCTGGTTGCCCTTAAATTTAGAATGTTACTTGCCTTTGGACTGAAATTTTCCAGGACTAGCTTCTGGGCATAGGTGAATATTTTAGCCATTTTCAAGTGAGACACTGAGGCAGGGATTTGATTTTATGAAGAATAGATCCCTTGTGGTTTCCCTGATTGTTTGCTTTTAAACCATGCTGTAATTTAAGCACTTGGGGAATTTAGTTTAGAACAGCCTAAGTTAGAAGAAATAGTAATAAAATAGTAATAAATGTGATTTTGATTCAGTGAAATTTTGTGGTCGTTTTGTGTTGGTTTTGTTTTTTTTTTTTTTTTTTCCCCCAGTGTTAATGCCACAGTAGGAATCCTATCTGTGCTGGCATTCCACATCTGCAAACAGAAACATGAATACATGGTTTATTTCAGTTTTATGCATATCAACAGGCTGAAATGATTGGTTTGTATCAGTAGAGCACTTCTGTCCTTAAGGTTTGCATTAGTGCTGCTGTACCCATGTTGAAATTATATATGTCTATATGAGCAAAGGAGGCCTCAGCTGCAAATATGTAGAAGATACATGCTATGAATGTGCACTTTATACAGTCTGCTCAGTTAACTTCATGATGTAATTACAGTTAAGATGTATAATTCTGGGGCAAGCACCCATATCCATTTTCAGCAAGTTACTTTAAACATTGGGGATTTGAGTTGAGGCTTTGTGCACTTTTTTTTTTTAATAACAGAGACACCAGTGGAGTTGTTTGGATTAATTTTGTTTAAGGTGTATCACTCCTCCACAACTGAACAGGGAAGTTATGAGTACAGTTAGCTTTTATGTGCTCTAATTGTTGCCACCTACAGCTTTTTATTAGTAACCTGCAGTTGTTCTGCAAAACACTTTTTTTTTCTTCTTTTTCTAATTTCCACATACCTAAAAATTCTATTACTTTGACAGTAAATCCTCAGGTAACCTGACCTTCAGTTTGCATACAACTGAGGGAGAAGCAGGGGTACTCTTCAGGGAAGTAGAATTAGGCTGTAGGAGATTGTAGGAGGCATAAGATACTCCTTTGGTGACTGGAGAGAGTTCCAGCTTGAACTTTCTCCTCAAGGCAGTAGGTTGAAGGATTATGTTGCGCAGAGAACATGCTGATTACCGCTTCTTCAAGCAGAAATTGCTAAAGCACTGACACTGCACTTGGTAAGCCTATAGTTGAAGGAAGCCCGAGCTTTAATACAACTTCAGTTTTGATATTTTTTGACTAAGGGATTTCAGCTTGCTTACTGTGTAATGTGTAATGCCTTGCTTTGTGTAAATGTATTGCATTTAGTATAAAATCCCACCTTGTTTTAGAGAATAGGAATCCGAGTTGCATTTCATGCTGCATGGGGATATCAGATGGACTGAACTTTTATTTCATGGGATTTCTGGTAAAATTTAACCATTTCTATTTTGCAGATGGACCGTTCCAACAAAATTGGCATAGAAACTTGCATATTAAAGTAAACACTCTATATTAGAGGAAATTTCCTCTTCAGATGGTTTCCTCCCCCTTCCCTCATCTTACATGCTTTATTGAGATTCTATGGGGAAAATGATCTCTGTCACTTTACCTTGTGGCATAATTGTTAAGCAGACCATTTACTGTTTGTCTGTTAAGAATTAGTCCCAGGTAAACACTGTAATCTTTAGCTATAGTTTAGCTTGTACGGACTTTTTTTTTTTTCACTCTTTAGTCCTGAAAATCTTTTGACATCAGTTCTACAAGTATCTGATATGTTATAAGGACCATGCAGTGTTTGGGGTATATGTTTAAAGAGAGCTTCTGCAGACTCTTGGTTGGATACCTTGCTGGTATTTCCTTGTCTGTACATTACTCACTATATGGTAGCTTTACTTAACTCTCGTTTTGAATGCTTGATTAACGTTTGAATTTCTTTGACCTTTAAATATGACAAAGTCATCCTGTGGTACATTTATGTCAAGAGCTTTTTCAACACCAGAGCTTTCCATTAACAATAGGATCTTCATTTGATTTCTTTAGGTATTATAATCTTAGGCTGAAGCATTAGCTTCACCCCAGAGAGAATAATTTCTAAACATATAGTACAGCTGCACTGAAGGGGTTACATAAAACAAGCTGAAAATTTGAGTAATTACTCTACAGTATTACATTTGCATATTTCCACATTGCAAATAGTTTCAAAAACTGAAAACATTGGAATTTTAAAACAACCTCCATTCATCTGCTCCCCACATGAAAACTCATGGCCACAACAGGACAAAATACAACTTCTGTGCTCAAGCCAGAAGCAATTAGGCTTGGCTAGACAATGAGGAAAGCTCCAAAATGTTTAAACCATAGAAATGGAAAAAAGAGAATGTTATGTTTTATTGTAGGTTCGGGAACTGCAAACACGTTTGCAAAGCGTGCAAGCAACAGGGCCATCCAGCCCAAGTCGTCTTACTTCTGCCAATCGACCCATTAACCCCAGCACGGGAGAGCTGAGCACAAGCAGCAGCAGCAATGACATTCCCATAGCCAAGGTGAGCTGTTTGGTGTTGCAGTAACTCTTCTCACAATCTGGGAGAAGTGGGCTTCATTTTGCAGAGGTGCTGTTCAAGCGTGTGATTAACTGGGAGATACCTAGAATCCCCAGATTGTTTTCTTGGCTCCTAAGCAGGTCCATGAACTTGAGCTGCAGGAAGGAATTAAGTGCTAATGATTGTGATTTTCTCAGTTACAACACAGGTGTCAATTTTACAGTGGTTTACTTCAGGTTTGCAAGTGCAGCTAGCAAACAAATACATTTTGTGCAATCTAAGGAGCGTGGGTTCCTGTGTAACCTGTGTAGCGTTCTGACTTACAGATTGCTGAAAGAGTGAAGTTGTCAAAGACAAGATCAGAGTCTTCATCATCTGATAGACCTGTCTTAGGATCAGAAATCAGCAGCATAGGGGTAAGGACTAATATCTATGTGTATGCATGGTACCTTCTGGAGATGACCCATGTTCCCTTAAAAGCTTTAAAAGTTATTTTGAGAAAAATATTTCAACAGTGATTATTTCACCAAATATTAAGATCTCGTTTTCTCATGACTGGTGGCTAGAAATCATTTTCTGAGTGACTACAACAGGGTCATTTCAGAGTCAATTCCTCCAAAATATCCTTCAAAAAAATATGTTCAGTTGCATTTCACAACTTCCAATCAACAGAGAACTGGCTTCTGCTTTGTAATGCCAATGTAAATCCATAATGCTGTTGTTACTGTGTGTTAATATTTGTTTCGGTGAAGAACTTAGCTCTGACCTTGTGCTAAGTTTTGAAGAAAGTAAGTAACTTGCATATTAGGCTTTTCAAATGTGTGATGAAATAGTGGACTTCACCCTTTGGTTAGTAGAATTTTAAATCAAAATAGCTTCTTAAAATGGAAACTTGTAAATGTTCTATACAGTGTAAAATTTATAGTAAAAATTGAATAATGAATTCCTTGAAGTGAGTGCATGCAAGCAAATGCAGCTCTCGGTGCACACTGCCAGTGGGAGGAATCCAGTGGTTATCTATTTCACAGTGATCTATTAACTGCCCCCTGTGCAGGTGTCTAGTACTGTGGCTGAACATTTGGCACATTCCCTCCAAGACTGCTCAAACATCCAGGAAATCTTCCAGACCCTCTATTCACATGGATCTGCTATCTCTGAAAGTAAAATCCGAGAGTTTGAAGTGGAGACTGAGAGATTAAATAGGTAAGGTGAAAAGTTAGATATGCTCAAGTGTGTTGTCTGCCATTAGCTTTGCTAAAGTTACTACTTTTTTATCCTCTTTGAACATTTCTTAGTTCAGTCCCAGCTCAACTGTGGCAGCTGCAGATAAATGTGGAATGTAGTTGATGAAGAGAAGATTGAATCATATGCTTAGGTTTCTTTCCATTAGTATGACAGTTTGGTTATACATTATTAGATCTGGCACCTTCACTGGTGACAATTTGTGCTGTAGAGTGTCCTCTATGGCTGCCCAAGTAGACATGGCATTTTTTTTCCTAAGACATATCACTGCTAGAAATAAGGATTCCCATAACTTATTCTCCATCATTCTGGAATTAGCTTGCTTTGTTTTGTCCTGAAAAAACAGAATTATAGCATTAACTGTATCGGTGAATGTATTGATCTACGATAGTGTGGCATATATACTGATAAATAGACTTCTGTCTGCAGAAGAAACATTGCAGGTTTCTGGTTGCAGTTAAAATACTGCTGGTGTTATCCCTCAATAAGCTTTAGCAAAACCAATGTTTGTTGTCCTTTTTGGAACATAAAATCAAAACTGTGGATCAGGAACATGAGAATCATGTCTCAGCATGTTTCTTTCCAAGTTCTCTCTTCCCCACAGCTGTCTCAAATTTTATCTGATCAGTACAATATCTCTTTTATTTGTAGCTCATGTTTTTGTAGTGCTGCAAAACGTGATCCTTTTCTTTTTTTTTTTCTTTTTTTTCTGTACACTGCACAATTATGCTTTGACAAAACGTATCGTTATAGGAGGTGTCAAAGATACAGGAGTTGAAGCATCTGAGAGTATTAACATCTGGGAAAGTCAGAGCTTTATTCTATAGCTGAATAAATGGTATACTAGCCCTTCTGCTTCTTGTGTTTGTTAAGAAGTCAGTGATTTTAGAGTTCTGGATGGCACTGATTTCTTCATTAGCTACCTGTCCAAATTTTGAAATCATTTGCCTGTCTGCTTTGAGTGTATGTCCAACTCTTACACTTAGGCGTAGTACATTGATGTGTACTGCAGTTACCAGCAGTGAGAATAAACAGTAATAGTGGTACTCTGAAGCCTTATTTTCAGATTCAGAATTAATCTCATTGAGAAGAATATTACAGTGAAGTTCTGATATGAGCTTCTGTTTGACTATTGCCAGAACTTTTGGAGATTTTATTGCCTCATTGAAGCTTCCTATTTCGGAGGTTGCATCTCTGATTGCAACCAAAATGTTACTTCATGTGAAACAGTTATTTTGGATGCTCCAAAGAAAGGGGTCATTTATGCAGCTGCATGATCCCTACACGCCCCCACACGTTGCACTAATGAACGTGCCACTTAAAACAAGAAGCAAATATGGCAGCAGGAAGTGAGGAATGGAGACAGAAAAATTAAGCATAATGTTAATATGAAACTGTCCTGTGTCGTTTTGTGGCTACAAAATAGAAGCACAGATTTCTGCTTGATGTTGTTGCACAGGGTTACGATTACATTTTATAGAAAGGAGAGAAGGAGGAGAGGCTGTCTTAAGAGAAGTTACTATCCTCTTGGCATTTGATACAGGACACAGAACTGATAGATTTTACCACCTTCATTAAAAACCTTGTGTAGACCAAATGGTGTTTGTTGTTTTAAATTATGATTGTTCTAGAGTTTTCAGGACAGTGTCTGCAGGCTAAGGTTGAAGGTTGCAAATTACTTCCTTTTCTACAGCCGTATTGAGCACCTGAAATCTCAGAATGACTTGTTAACAATAACACTGGAAGAGTGCAAGAGCAATGCCGAGAGGATGAGCATGCTTGTTGGGAAGTACGAGTCCAATGCCACGGCCCTTAGGCTTGCATTGCAGTACAGGTATGTACCTATGCAGGGGGTATCTCAGCCAGAAAAAGAGGGAGTGGGGGAGACTTGGTAGAAGTGTTTAAGAGTTAAATTGTTGTTGTGCTGTGGTAACATTGTTTCTTTCTGTTTCCTCCCTGAAAAAGTGCCTCTTTGGTTAAACTACTTGACAAACTACAGAAGGCAAGTTACTGATATGTGTGTATTTCAACCCTAGTTCACCAGCAGTACTGAACTCGATCTAACAGAAGTATACAGATTTATCTTCTCATTTTTAAATACTGAATTAACATATGAATTAGGGGTTGTGTGTAGGCTCAAACTGTCTCTGCTGTATTTGATCTTAAGATACAGGTTCTCTGAGTTAGGCTGCCACCTTTTATAAGACCAGTGGACCAAAGAGTAGTATTGTACTCCACATAATTTAGAGTGATTTTATAATACATCAGTTAGAATTGTGGATTAATTGCTTGGCATTTGGTTATAAATATCTAAATTTCATTTAAACTATATGTAAAAAGGTGGTGTCACTTAACTCCTGCTGCAACTAATTTGGAACAGGCGATTCTGGTCTTAAGGCAAATTGTGTGTCTTTTAAAGAATGTATTCTGTTACTATCAGCCTTGAGCAAATTACAAGGGAATGTAAATTGCAAATAGGTTTATTAACGTATATGTTTTCAAAATAAATTAGAATGCAACAGGAATGAGTGACTCACAACTGTACTTAGAAGCTGTTGTGTTGTAAGGAGAAAAATCTTACAACCAGGACAGAGCAACAAGTGTTTTTCCTGTCTTTTCTTCTTACTATGTGAGTATAGTTGTATAGTAGAGTATAAAATACTGTATTTTGTATAGTAACAAGGCCTGAAAAAGATTTCTCAAAGGGATCCTATTGACTACCATTCGTATTGTTGACTGTTTCAGACATGCTTCTGGAGCTCATTTCACATCAGGTCATTCTCTCCTGTTTTAACTTTTTACATTACTTGAGGCCAACCTGGGACCATCGTAAGGAAGGAGAAACTGTTGAATGCTTGTGATAGAAGCCTATGTGTGTTATGACATTTAATATCCCTGCTGCTAGACAAGTAGTAGGCAATCATGCAGCTCATCAGCTACGTCTTTTATTTGTTGCTGTTGCAGGTATTCTTCCCCTCTAAATTGCAAATATATTTTGTGTGATTTTTGTTTCCTCTGGTTTGTTTTCTCTTTCAGTGAACAATGCATAGAAGCATATGAGCTGCTGTTGGCGTTGGCAGAAAGTGAGCAGAGTCTCATTCTTGGGCAGTTCAGAGCTGCAGGTGTTGGTTCTGTTGGTAAGATGTCAATGAATCACTTTATTTAAATTTTCTTTTTCTTTTTGCATGTCAGTTAGCATTAGAATTAGTTGTAACATGAATCATCTCATGACCCGTCACTTAAGAATGCTCTACAGTCTTTTCTTGTTTTTAATTAATTAAATCATTTTATACACACAAAAAATAGGGGACAAGAAAAAGAGAGACTGGAATTAAATAATAAAATTCACCAGCAATTTAAATTAACCTATATATACTATCACAGGGGTATGCCTATTCTGGCAGTGGTGAGGCTGCTATAGGCCTGCAACTGTACAAAGTGGATTTATTATTAAACAGTACACATGAGCACATGTGGCTTAGGGCCATACAGCTGTGGTAATTGCAAGTACAAATTTTGTTTGAACCATCAACATTGAGCCCCCTAGAAGTTGAGTGTAGTCTATGAAAAGCTGGGATTAAGACAATAAAAGGTAGCATTGAGTAGTTACAAAAAAAAAAAAAAAAGCTCTAGTTTTTCACCCTACATTTTACCTTTGCTCTGAAATTTTAAAACATTCTATCTTATGTTTTACTGTGTTGTTAGAGATTTTAGCCCATAAATTCTGGGGGTTTTTTTCTTAATTTTGTGTGTAGTTAATCTTGTGGCTAGGCGTTACTATTTTTTAATACGCTGCTTGCTAAGTAATGGAATGAGCTACTTGCACAGGCACAGTTCAGAAGTGTTTGGAGCTTGACATAGCTGCTGGCTCCACTTTTCTGATAGAAAGGGTTTACACAGTGAATGTGAATCTGGGTTTTATAGGCCCATTCCTTTTACTGATAGGAGAAGGTAGCTCTAGTAATCTTGAAGTAGAAAGAAGGGAAACCTTGAGAGAGAGAAGAATGGCTCTTCATGCTGTGCTGCGGCATAGTAATTGCCTGATTGAGACAGTTTTATAGCACTAGCTTCTCAGGAATCACTGAAATGTAAACAGAAAGCATTTACAGGCAGAGTGACCATCTGGCTTTAGAGCCAGAGGACTGACACGGTTAGCCTCTTGTTGCAGATGACTAGATGCATTCAGCCCACAGTCACTGGGCTGTTAACCACGTCCCTTATTTTGTATCTCTCCCACTGCTAGAAGCAGGCCCTTGTGTACCTGTCTTCACCTCTGCAGTGTGTGCCATACACTAAATGTTAGAGATTTTCACCCACCTCTCTTCCAGACTCTGGTCATCTCTTTCCACGGTGTTTCAGGGAGCTTTCCCTGCTGGCAGAGATCAGTGGCCAGCAAAAGTGAATTTAGTCTTGGATTTTCTGCTCACATAGGTGGCAGAAAGAAATCTTAGAAGGGAGAAATACTTTGGGTTTGAGTAGGGATTAATCTCACATTGCTTTTATGAAAGAGTGTAGTTTAGTTTTTATATAGGTGTCTGTCTGCAGTTCTTAATTATGGTATTATCAGTGACAACCCTGTGATAGAAAAAGTGCTAATTTCCCATTACATAACACAGCTTGGAGGAAGTTGTGTTTGATTTATGTACCTTTACTTCACCATGGCATTTGATTAAAACACCTAGATGAAATATCAGATTTTTGGTTTGAAAATCAGTCAAGTTTTATATCAACATCTGTGAGTGGAAAATTCATGGGAGTTGCTTCTGCATAACTTAGAGCTGAGCATAGCCAGCTGCTCTTAACATTCTCCCTTCCTTTCTTCTGCATTACTGTTATTTCTAGTGTATGCACTTCATTTTACAAGCGTGAAGTATGGGTAATTGGTCTTTGACTTAAATAAGGATGAAATTAAAATCTGCCATAGAGAAAACTGGGGTTTTTTTATACTCTCTGACATCTTTGCAGTGTATTTGATAAAGTATGAATATATTGTAGCTTTGATCAGACTTTCAGTGTAGCCACAAATGTGCTTTACTTTAATAACTTGACTCCAGCTGGAGTTAGGACTATAAGAGTAATGGAAATGGTGGTTTCTGTCCTGCCTCTGCTGAAAGCATGGCTTACAGCTGCATAGATGCTGCATAACCACTAGAAATTATAGAAAATTCATAAACACCAGTGCTAGTTTTCTTTTGGTTTAGTAAACAGGACTCTGCTCTGAGTCTCTGAAAGTCTGCTTCTAAGCAGTAAGTCGATTTTTCCAGCTGGAAAGGTAACCTGTAAGATGGTATTCTGGCAAACCATTAGGCTTGAGATAAAGGTGCATGTCAGAAGAAGCACTGGAAATGACCACACAGTGAAATGGCACTGGACTGATCAGAGTAAGAGTTGTTATTTATGCTGAGGCTTTTCCAGTGTATTATTAATTTAAACATCCTAACGTAGTCCTAATGCATAATCCACAGCCTTACAAACAGGCAAGCTAGCTAAGGTAAAACATCCCTTAAGACAAATACCTGGAGCAACAAGTACCTGGAGCTTGTGGCTGGGAGGGAGATGCATTAGGTCAGTAGCCCAGTTACCACTGGTGTTCACACAGAAGTGAAGTTGCTTTTACATTACAGATCGGTAATTTATTGTCATCGTCTTGGTATAAACTGAGAGTGCATAGAAGCATCTCTATTCTTGCCTTAATTTCTGTCAACCTCCACAAATCTCTAAAACGGAATGTCTGCTTGTAAACTAGGGGACCAGACAGGTGATGAAAACATCACGCAGATGCTTAAGAGAGCTCATGACTGCAGGAAGACAGCTGAGAACGCAGCAAAAGCCTTGCTGATGAAACTAGATGGAAGCTGCGGAGGAGCCTATGCAATCACTGGCTGTAGTGTGCAGCCCTGGGAAAGCCTGTCATCCAACAGCCACACAAGGTAACTGCAACTCGTCTGCTCTCCTGTTCCCCAAGTGTTTGATTTCAGACCAAAAGTTATGTTGTATTCTATTTGCTGACTTGCGTCCCTCAGCTCAGTCCACTGGCTTCTTTGTTTTGATTTGTAAGTCACCATGCCTCAGTGGTCTAATTTGTCCTTAGACTTCGAGCAACTCTAGCCAAGAATGGTTTTGTATAAATTTGCTGCAAATGGGTGACTCTGAACTTTGATCTTCCTCATAAAGGGCAAAGCCATTATGTTTGTTTTACTTCAGTAACTTTCTTGGTATTTTATTGGAACTCAAATCGTGTACTTCTTATTCATATCTATTGTATGTGGGCAGCACAGATATATGGAGAACCAGAGATCGGAAGTGTGCTTCCACTGGCATTTTGGAGTGCTCAAGAATTGTTTTCTAAATGTTGCAAATCCAGCCATTTTTCTTTTAAACCATTTCCTCTCCTTTCTCATTCCCTGTTGCCCCCTCCAAATTCCCCCTTCCCATGCTATTCTTTCACATGCAGAGTAGCAAATGAACATCATGACAGATAGAGTGGATTTGTCCAGGAAAGGCTGGATATTGGATTTTTTCTGAAGACCTATAAAATAATGAAACTTAAATGAGCTATTATTGCAGAAGTGTTCCAGTTCAAATACATCTGCTAGCAGCTTCATTTTGAGTCGTTGGCTGCCTGCAGTGTAATTGTACTCTGTGCAGTGAATATGTGTGCTTGTGTATGGATACGAATTTGGCAAGCATCCTGGATAAATATAGATGAACATTTTTCTTTTTAAAAGTTATTTTGGTTTCTCAGATTCACTCTAAAAATTCATTTTAATTCAGTTTTTGAGCCAGTTCTTTATTCAAATGCTGTCATTTTTTGACACTTCCAGAAGTTTATTTTAGTACTATATCATTTACTCTTCTTGCTGATGCCTCCTCCAAAGGATCTTATTTCCTGCCATGTGACTGTCATAGAATATCTAAAAAGTGAGCAAAAAGGTAACTTGGGGGAACAGGGTCCAAATTTGAGGTAGATTTTAACATTTTATTCAAAGAAGTACTGGAGTGCACTTTCAGTCCAAGAAAGCTGTATCTTTATTCAGAAACTAATGTGGCAGCGTCTGCACTAGTAATGCATTGATTGCTCATTGTGCCCAAAGTATTTACTGGCCTTGAAAAGAAGTTACACAAAGCTGTTTCAAATACTTGACTTGAATCAGTATGCATGCCGTATCTACCCCTGCATGTGAACATGTTGTAAGTGGTCACACATAGCAACTCCTCTACCTAGGCTGAACTTGTTCTCTATTCTGTTATTTGAAAGTGTCATTTTCAGTTCTTCATACCTATTTCAGTGTTTTTATTCCTTGTGAGATTTCTGGCATGTAGTCATGGCATTTTTTTTTTTTCTTAAAAACAATTTAGATAGTTTCCAGTATTGACGGGGGGGGGGAAATCAAGCATGGAGGTGGTATTCCTGTTTTTTCATTTGTTCTCCTGACCTTTCACTGAAAGTGCTTGGTAGGAATATAGTCTCTACAGTCCTTGCTTTGCTGAACATCAGCAAGGCTAAGGGATGGAATTGTGTGTGTTTGAGAAGGAAAATCAACCCTCATGATCATTGTTTACTGTGAACTTTTGGTGGTCAGCTCACAGTGTGTGTATGTGTGCGCATAATGTGTTGGCTGAATAGATAAAGTTTCAACAGAGGATGATTAAAATGACATAGGTTTTCAGATTTCATCAGTATAGACTCTGCCATGAAATGTAAAAATGCAAATGTGAATGCTTCTGTGTGCAAGAGAAATGTTTTAGCTTGAGTCATTATCATTGTAGGGTAATTTGGTGTGGAGCAAGATATTGTACTGAATAAGGTAACTATTATTATCTGCTTTGATATATGTGGAACATGAGAGAGAAAGGTTTCACTCACTAACCCAAGGGGCACACAGCAAGTCAGGAACTTGTCATATGGGCATTCTGATCTGATCATCACTTACACATTGTTGTCCCTCTCCCCTTCCCACATGCCCAATGTAATTTGTCTGTGTCTAAACATACATATATCAGTGAAAATATTACTTAAACTTTAGCTTCTCCATGAAATACAAATCTTATCTTCTTTCCCTCTGTTGTGTTCAAGTGACACACAGTAGAGGTGTTTTCAGATTTCTCATTCCTCTGGACTCTGTCTCAAAATAGAGACATCCCCTCTGCAGCTTACAGACGTACGTCAGAATACAGACATACGACACTGTGCCAGCCCGTATGTGGAAAATACATGTTGGTTTGATAGGCACACACTATTCTATATTTATATCAGTAAATGTTCTATCTCAGGTTTAAAAACTTTAAGATTTTGTTTTTAACTCTCCTCTCCCTATCATTCTGGATTCTTTTTGTTTCTCTCCAGGACCCTACTCCTGCTTTTTGGAGTTACCCTGCCTATGTTGCCAGCTCTCCCAACCCATTCATGCGTGCTCCCTTGTCACTTGGCTCCCTGCTGCTCTGGACAGACATCCTATTGCCACAGACCTCCAGCCCACTATGATTCTTTGATGTTGATGATTTCCATTTCCTTTCATTTTTCCATTACAATAGCAATCCAGGCAGAGATAGGAAAGCAGGCTGTGGATTTCTAGCTGTTCCTGCAGGCTTCGTGAATTTATGTGTCTTAAAGAACTTGGCAGTCTATGAAACTGGGGAGAAGAACAAGCCCACGTCACTAGTGAGTGCTGTGTAAACCACTATTTGGGGACCACTGCCCTGAAATGAAAGTATTTTTACATTATGTGGCTCAAGCATACTCCAAATCTTCAAGGCTGATCTTTTGCCATAGCTGTTTTAGTGTTGTAAGCTTTTAGTTTCAGATGTGTATTTCTACCTTTTCCCTTTAAAACCAGATGAGTAAAGAGGTAGAGGGATGATGAAAACTCTCCTTTGCTGAGACTTGTGACAAATGAGTAATTTTCCCTGCTGTTTAAAATTCTGTAGAATAGGGACTTACAACAGAACTGTTGACCCATCTTTAGCTTTGGCCTTTCAAATGAGATTCTGAATGTCAAATCACTGAACACATTACTGAGAATAAATGCTTGGTGAGCCGCTAGTGACAAGTGGTTAAAGACTCTAAAAGGAAGCAACTGAAATGAAAAGAAATGAAATGAAATGAAAGAGCATCACAGAGGTTGTTACTGGTGAAGTGAATAAAAATAATAGCAAACATCTCAACTGATTTGGCTGGCAGCAGCACAATAATGTTACCAATTAATTTTTTTAAAAGAGAAATAGGTGTGCAGTGTAGTTGGAAGTCATAATTATTTTAATGGACAGAAGCTAACTATAGAACATGTGTTGCCAACTAGGTTTGGCTGATTGCACCTTAAAAAGAAGGAAACAAAGGAGAAGGACTGAAAACAGTGGATTTTATTCCCTGCAGTACTAGTAAGCCCAGTCTTACATCTGGATTCATTGGGCGGGGAAAGATCTGGTCTCTTATATGCAAAGGGAATTCTTTTCAGTATTAAGCAGTGTCACAAATTATCTGAACTCAGCCAAATGTAGAACCATAACTCTCATCAGAATCACCTCAGATTTGAGATAAGTAGCTGACAGCCAAAATTATCTTGGCTGAAGTGTGCAAATAAGTTATTTAGAAATATCCCAACATATATCTTAATGTTATCTATATAACGCTTCATTGTTGGGCTGAGAAAGTCTCAGAAGTAAGTGGGGTGGTTTCACCAAAGGTTCTGATTTTAGCCAAATATACTGTTTGTCTTTTGGCTGGTTAAAGTGTTTTTCAGTTTCTCAGGAAGTTGCTATCTTTTGGCATTGTGGTCTCGAGGCACGACGTTCACCAAGAAGATGGTTGGCACATGTATACTGGTGTATCAAATACATTCTTTAAAGTGTAAGGTTGCGTGCAGACATTCAAGCAAGTTTTGTGGATTCAATTCTGGCTGTTATTTTAGTTCTGTCAACTTTTGTATTATCTGCACCATTGCTGAATTGCAGATTTATTTATTGACTTGATTTTTAACAGATGAACTGAAGCTTATACAGGGTTTTATGGACAAAATTTTGTAGTGTACAGAAGTTGAACAGAGGCACTGTCGGAAGCCTCATTTATATCCACCCACTGTATTTTATATATATACATGTGCATGCGAACACACATTTGCATGCCAGCAAATAAAACTGCACATTATGCTATACCAACCTGCATATTTTCCACAGGCTGTATATGAGAATTAATTTGACATCATCCATGCATGACATCATAGTAAAAGACTTGAGGGATGAAGCAAGTGGAAAGAACATTTCTCTTTGCTTGTTCTGAATACCACAGCAGTGAGAATGAGCAGATTGATGTTGTATTTCCTCCAGGTGTGATGAAATTGTGATCCTTTCTCTATCCTGACCTACATGCTTGTGAAATGAGAAACTGCATATCTTTTGCAGCAGTTTCACGTGGTTTGTGGATGGATGCATTGTAATACATATGCATTCTGTCGATCTGTTTTCCTTTGTCTTTACTGCTGTTAGAAGTGGGAGCAATATCTGAAATTCAGGATCATATGCTCACCAGCTGTGGACTCTTAAATATAGCAGCTCTAGACTGGCATTGTGGCTGTGGAGAGCTGTATGGAGGGGCTTTTGGGGGAACACACCCTGGCAGAGCTGTGCTGTAGTTCAGAAACACTGCGTTGTTCCCGTCCTTCATCATGCAGCCTCAATTTTACAACAGTCCAAAGTGGGCTTTGTATCCCAGCTTTCTGCAACCCATACTGCTTCCAGTCCTCTGGGTGGGGGCTTGCTCCTTATACCGGGGGGAGAGGGAAGGCTCTCTCTTGTCCTTTTGTGTGCTGGTTGCGACAGCTTCCTTGCTAAGCTCCCCTCACCTTCTATTAAAAAAAAAAAAAAAAAATAAAAAAAAGAGCAAAAAAAAAGAGCAGCTTGCTAGCAATTCACCAGAGGACCAACTCAGCTGCAGACAGACAGGCAGGCAGGCAGCCAGCACTAAAGTAAAAGCAGCCTGACTATCACTGGCAACGACCCAAACTGCCTTCCTCAGTTTGGACTGCTCCCCCCCTAAAATATACGTGCATAACTGTGGATCTTTAAGGGCCAAAATCTGTGAATATCCAGTGAGTACAAGGTCCAGCACAACATCACAATAGACTTTCAGCATTTTTGCTCAGGTTTCATTCCCAGCAGGAGAGCTAGGTTTTCTTTCCTTTGGAAGTGAAAACTGAGATGAGCTCTTTGTGTCCCAAGATTTGAAGGCTGTGTAGGCTTTAAAAGCTGTTCTTCCTCCAACAACAGCTGTTTTACATTTAATCCAGAAAAGCTGTGCAATTGCTGTCTTTGCATGCTGAGAGAACTTGCAACATGACTTCAGTACAGAATTAAGTATTTCTCACATTGTCTATCCCCATGATTTTTATATCAATATCTATGTCAGAGAGGTATCTTTACACTCAGAAAAGCAAGATTTACAAAGTGCTTTGAGATTCTCTAATGAAGAACTAAGTGTGAACAAAAATTTGTTTCAGCCTGAGAGGGTTTCTATGTTAGTGTAGGTACTAGGTGTTTTCAGCTTCACTGAAGATGGAAATGGATGAAAACAAAAGCAAAGACCAGTTTACACTTGTGGTAAATATGGCATCTATTATCCCTAAGATAAGGACGGGATGACGGGAAATTGACAGAGAACTGTAGTAAAGAACTGTAATGTGGTATTTCATGAGAGGGAAGGTTTCTGAAAAATCTTTGCAGACCTGCCTATTCTCCATCTTCTCCAAGGCTGTGCTTGGAATTTGTGGGAAGATTGGCAATTATTTGAGGCACTTAAAAATCAATTAGCTTTAGCTGAAGTGGAACCAAAAGGAAAGAGAAAAATCAAGCCTACCTTGATAGGCTTCCCCTTTTTCACATGCATAATTTTATTTTAGGACACGATCCTAAAATGATATAGGACATGATCCTGACTCTCACAGCATGTAGCGGGTGGGGCTTTTTTTCTTCCTACAAAAATGTTGAACAGCAGTGCAATTTGATACAGAAAGTGATTTATTCCCCTGCTGATAACTGAGATCATCTAGCATTCCAGGCAAGCACAGTTAATGGATGACTTATCTCTCCACCCGGCAGCTGATTACAGGACCTCAGGAGACAGCAGGCAGCTTTGAGTGAGGTTATAGAAACAACACGGCATTTTATTTTCCTTTTAGTGTTATTGCAACTATATTCGGCTCTGGAATGCTACGGCTGTATCAGTCTCAGCCCCCTGCAGCACTGGCATGCGTGTAGGTGGATAGGCAGCACCAAGCCACCTTGCTCTAAGACATTAGTTCTCCCTTTTTGCGATCTCTATGTAAACGTTTGTGGGGCAGACTAATGGGCAGTCATTTGTTTGATGCCTGTAGATAGGAGAAGTTCTGCCAAGTCTGATGATGACTTTTTATTAAAAATCCTGCTAACTTATGGGTTGGTTTTAAACCCCTCTAGCCCTGAGGAATGTTAGTGTACTAAGGAATACACCTTAACATGAATTGAAAGATGCTACCTCCAGGCATCTGCCAGGAGAATTTTGCTCAGGTTGATTCCTCTCTAAGAAGATAACTGGTATTGCCATCAGCAAGAGATAAATGAAGTCTGGGTCAATTCTTTCTTCTTAGCAGATGCATCTTCCCAAAGAAGATGAAGACTCACTGAGCAGCAGAGAGAAGCTTGCCCTGCCTAGGGTATTGCTAAGAAATCTTAAGTAGCTTGCTTTTTTATTGTTTTGTTTTAAGTATCTGGATTTTCAGATAAGTTGTTACATGATTCAATTTTCTCATGGAGCTTAAAGAATTAATTTATTTTGTGAAATTGTCACACCCCTCTGTGTCTTATGAACATTGCAATGTCCAGTCCACGCTATGTGTGTCCTTTCTGTGAACTTTAAGTAAGACTTAGATGTGTTGATGAAGTATTGGGAACGTGTTTAATGTAAAAATACAGATTTTTGTTCCAGATGTTTTCTTTTAATACTGTTCTTTCTCTTTCCAGTACTACCAGCTCAACTGCAAGCAGTTGCGATACAGAATTTACAAAGGAGGATGAGCAGCGGCTGAAGGATTACATCCAGCAGTTGAAGAATGACAGGGCAGCAGTGAAACTGACAATGCTGGAGCTGGAAAGCATCCACATTGATCCCCTAAGTTATGATGTTAAACCTCGTGGAGACAGCCAGAGGCTAGACCTGGAAAATGCGGTTTTGATGCAGGAACTTATGGCAATGAAGGTATTTTATTTATATCCAACAGGCTAAGTGTGCTGCTGACAATGCCCCTGTGCTACAAAGCATGCTCGGTCACACACATGGGAGGCTTTGATAGTGATCACTGGGTAATAAAAGGTAACTTTGTTGAAGCAAATTATCAGGGCTGAAAATCCAGTAGTCAAAAAGTGACAGAAGGCAGTGCAGTAACAGTGATGAGCTGTGTGTGTTTTGAATTAGGTGAGGACTTCATCTGTGGCTCTAAAGTTGGAAAGCTTTCCTTGACAAACCAGATGCTCTCTCTAAGAGATATGGCCCCTGAGTTTCTTGAAGGTGACCAAAACCATGATACAGCACTTCCAAAGAGACAGTTCATTACTTTACTTACAAGCTTGCAAACAGGCATCTTGAATATTTGTGTAGTGAAGCAGAACAAATTTACCTCCTTAGAGTGCTGCTGTGGGAGGAGGAATGGTCTGTCAGAGGCTGTCATCCCTGATGCTCTCCAGCAGTGGGTCACAAGTCCAGAGCTGCTCTAGGCACTGTGTTGCAATTTGTAGCTCAGTTCAGAGCCTGAGCAAAGAGTGCAGTATGTAATGACTTGCAGTAGTAGAGGTTTTTGGAGAAAACTCTCGTTCCTCAGGCCTGGCTTATACGTCCATTTCTAAAGATGTGATTTAGTAAAACTGACCTTTATTGACCAGGTATAGAGCTTGTGTAATTTTAAATCTGGCTTCTATATTGACTTTGAGAGAGGTGAACTAAAACACAGAAACATATTAAAGGTGATACAAGCACATGTCTGCATTTAGAAATTGGCTCATTTTCGTTCAGTTTAAAAAGTTTAATTTCTGCATTTGAACAAGTCCTGTTTTAGTCAACTAATGGCAGATATGTCAGATGATGGTATCATGTGGGACAGCAAATCCTAATAGTTTCGTAAGCATCTAAAGCTACAGATTTTTGTCCAGTTGTGCTACTTCTGGCTGATAGCTTAGTTATGATAATTATGTACGTAGTTGTGCTGCCTTTCCGTGATGACAAATGCAATCTTGCAATAATGCATTAAATATTTGTAGTTCAGAAAAAAAGATTGCCTGCTACCAGTAAGAAGATTTAAAGTTGTTAGTTGTTTGAATATATTGTGGCCAACAGCAATATATTCTCCATAATTAAAGCATGCAAGATGTACTGGAAGACGTTTATAATTAGATGTATATTTCAGATATCACACTTATTTCTCCTGTTTGTGTCCAGATCTTCCCTGAAATCTCCTGTACACCATTCTCACCTCTATCTTTAAATTGATTGGTAAAGACAAACTGCAGAGCTATCCCTTGTGATTAATGCCCTTGCATTCCCTGACCTGGCAAGAACACCAGTAGTTGCATATCATAATTTCTGGCACAGTTTTGAGTGCTGGTAGTCCTTTTCTTCACTAAATGACCATCTGACTTGTTTTTGACATATGGTGTCCAATCATAACTTTTGGCTGGACCTACCGCTTTGAGTTTTTCCTGCAAGAATTAATCCTAGAAGAAGTCTTTCTTCTTGGTTGGTTAGAGTGCGGTGCATACTGGAATAGATACACATTTTACATAGGTGGCTGAAGTCACCTTCAGTCCTTTCTGGTACAGAGAAACTGACAGTACTGTTATTTATTATAATTTGTTGTACTTTGCTGAAATTCACAACTGCAATAAATCCCTAGGATTCTGAAAGGGATATGGTGAAAACTCAAGATTGTCAAAGCTTGGAATGGACTCTGTTGGTAAGCGCTCTCCTGCTAGAGATTGAAAACTCCTGCCTTTCTTCTATGCATAAAGCCCTACAAAAGGCACAGCTACACTCTGCATGTTTTGGTCCCAAGAGAACGTGCTACCTTATTAGAATCCATGCTTGATGCTCACATCTGCCTTACAACTTGCTCGTATGTGCAGCAAGGTATAACATAATTGAACCTAAGGACGAGTGGATGTCTTGGCTTTCCAAATGTACTGTTTGTATCTATTATTTGAAATGTACCTCATACAGAATAGCCTATGCATTTACCTTCTTCTGAGACAACTGCAGAATTTAAATTTCCTTACAGTATTTTATTTAACTTGAAGCAGATGGACTCATCTGTGCTGCAGAGGACTACCTCATATAGCAGCTCTTAATTTGTTCCCTCCCTTCCACACTCTTAACAAGGATGATACACCTTGATTGAGTTACTGAAGGATTTCCTGCATTTCTGGGTCTTATGACCTGCTGCTGTCTTCCTGAAACTTGTATTGGTGTGTAATCTCTGCTGCATCTTTCTGCACCTTTTATTTATGACTCCCAGTGAAAACTGATCACCACTTCAGTCATACCGCTTCTTGCACCTTTGTGTTACGCTGATAATGTTGCGAAAATGCCTTTACACCATTAGTTCTTCATTATTGATGAAAACAATCCATAAAAAGATAGTTTGGGGATGGTTTCTCTGTTGCCCTGTTTATTTTTTTTTTTACTAATCCAGAATGAAAGACTGAAAGTGGTCTGCCAGTACTTCTGTAAAATCCAATTCTTTGCTTCAGGCAATAATTAACTATGTTTCTAAATATATTATCATCTGCAGTTTGTCAGCATTCAGTGGTCTTGCTTTGAGGTCAGTTGTTGTCACGCCCCAGTTAGCAAGGAGATTACTTCTGATGGGTGTAAATAATTCTTGGTTTACAGCCTTTCTGCATTTCAAAGGACTTCATCTAGATAAGAAGTCTCAGCTTTCTACACTGATAATTTTTCCTCTTTTGTGTACAGGTGATAATATTGCTCATAATGTGCTTTGAGACTACAGTCTCTTTGCAGAAAATGTTAAGAATCCTGTTGTCCACCTTTGTTACAGCTCTTATAGATGTATATAGTAAAATACAGTTAACTAGAGCATGGCATGTATATGCTCTGGTACTTGTCTTACTTATGAAGGCTCATGTATTTTACCTTGTGTACTGTGATCATCATGGAGTCCCATTTCATGACATTTAGAATTCTTTGCCACGTAAGAGTCCTTGTTGTTTTATTTTTATGACATGACCACATCTAACACAATTTTTAATTTTGAGGATGCTGTGGTGCTTCTGATTATATTGAGTCAGAAGTGGTTAGCCTTCATTCAAGTTTTCACCCAAATTCAGAATTACAGTACGACTGCAAGTACAAAATATTCTTCGTTATTCAGATAATTAGTCCTGAAATGACTGCTAGATTTGGTACTTGAAGCTTATGAACTTGCATGAGTTGTATAAGTCTTCTGCAATCAACTGAAGGAGTGATCACTAGCTACCTCCTTTTTCAAAGTTTCATTTTGTAAATGCCACTTGTGCTTTAGGCCCACAATATAAAGAAGCAGATATATTAAACTGAAAAGTGTTTCACCAAACCCTGTAATTAGGAAAAAAAGGGACAGTAAATATAAAAAAATCATGTTGTCATTGAAATGAAATTTAGATGCTATCTTTAGAAAACATATTTTCATGGGAGAAAATACTGCATATGTAAAGACTAACTCCTAAGTATACCCAGGCTACTCTACATTTTCCCACATAAAACATTACTGTTGCCACCTTGCCTCACAGGTTGTATGTGTCCACAACAGAATCCTCAACTAGAGTTTTAATTTTTAAATTCAACCTTTCAACTCCTTCCCATTTCTTCCCTGGGCACCTCTGTAAAACATTTGATTCTCTACTTCAAAGTCACATTGTCTTGACATGAGAACACTAACGTATGGGGGTGCTTTTGGAGTCCATGATATATATTCTGGGACAGGATGCAAACTTGTGAATTCATATATGATGATCTAAGCTTACTGTCTTCATAAACAAATGAGTTAGCCATTGATCCTCAAGCTTATTTTGAGCTAAGATATGTATTACAAACTAACATCCAATCTTTAAATTAAAACTTTCAAGGGATGAGAAAAATCAGTTCCACAGATTCATTGTTGCAGTGGATAAAGTCACCTTTTTCTTTTAGGAAATAAGTGTCCCTTTTTTTCTAGGCTGAATTTGCCTAGCTTCAACTTCCAGGCTGAGAAGATCTTGTCATGATCCTCCCACATAGATAGCCCTCTGTCAAGAGTATCTTCTAGTCACATGAGTGCCAAAATACTCTACTCAAATTACTTCTCAGCCTTCACTAAGCAGGCTGAGTAGATTAATGGCTTTAGAAATAGAGGCTTAAGAAGCTAAATGCATACACTTAAATATACCAGACAATCCAGTTTAACTCCTGTAACTAAATTTCCCCATCATTATTTATCAGTATTATTTACATTTTTACTGTTGACAAAGGAAATTAATGGTAAGTTTTCCTAACAACTAAATTTCTGTAAACTACATTGAATTAAACTGATTGTGCTTCTAACCTTCAGTTCAGAAACAAGTAGATGAATAAATTAATGATTTTGAAGCTCATACAAAGCCTTCCAAGCCTGAGGGTTTTTAGGATACGGATTTTATTTTTGCATGGTTGATGATTCTGAATAAGCCAATGATTACTGGTGATTATTATATGCTGTTTTTAACGGTGCTACACCTGTGTGCGCTGCTCACAGTTGATCCAGACAGCAAATTTTTGGTAGGAACATGGATTCTCTTTGACAGAAAAACATAGTCTAAATATGTGCCAAGATATGTGTTTGTATAGTCTTTGTTAATAATGGATGTAATACAAAGAATGTTCTTTTTGAAGGATAAGGTAAGATATCTCTGATATTTTTGTGACTAGAATATGGGGTTTTGTTAAAAATAATTTTAAAATAGTGATTTGTTCCTAGGCTGGCCACACAACAAGAAACTTATATCTTTCAGACATGTTAGCACACTGAACAAGTCTAGAATAGAACTGAACTGTAATACAGAAAATAGTACAGGAACTCAGTATTTACCCATGAGATGACCTAGGGCATGGCAAGGTGAACAGTGAGAACATGATTCTGGGTTGGTTTTTTTTTTTGTTTTGGTGTGTTTTTGTTTGGTGTTTTTTAACACATAATGTAAATTATGTTTTAGGACCATCTCGTTTAAGGTTTGGGAATGCTGGCTTTTTCTGGGTTCAAAAAAACCTAGATATTTCATGGAAGAATCTTTTGTGAAACATTGTCAAACTCAAAGAGCCTTTTGGTTCAGGATACCAAGCAGCTGCTTTTCATGGGTGGCTGGGAGCAAGTGCTGAAAGAGGGATCATTGCACTCATGCCTTGTTCTTACACTTCTGCCTGGCCACTGTCAGAGCGGATGATAAAGCAGAGGTCTCTCCCCAAATAACAGTTGTTGTGTTTCAGTGGTTGACAGCCTGGTCATAAATATCAGAGTGGCAGAAGAATTAAACACAAGAACGGGCTCCCAGAATTTACTTCTTTCTGTGAAGGACTTGTGTCCATCTTCTGTGGATCATATTTATGGAAGACTATAAGCAAGTGCAATTTTGTCAACCTCCAGTTGTGTATAGTTGGGATTCTGGCCATCTAGAGGCAGGAAGTTAAAAATGGACATCTGGTGGTACCATACCCAGTTGCCCTTTGAGTAACTCATTCTACCACAGAGGCTGGTATGATGAGGCAGGAACTGTGTTTGCTGTACTAGTCCGTCAAACTAATTCCATTGTAATGAGGTAAACCAACTCTGATTCTTACATATCAATAAGAAACTGGAATCTGGCATCGAGGGAGCTGTTTGACAGGGAAGTCAGATACTCCTGTTCTTAGGGTAATGGTCTCTGAAGGGCAAGGTAGAACCAAAGCAATTTCAGCAGCTGTGGCAACCCTCTCAGATCCCTGATACTCTATTTTCAGCACCACCTTAGCTGCTCTCTTGCCTCTGAGCTTGTTTCTGAGGCTGATTAAAGGATGGCACAGCTCATCATACTCACTGAGTCTCAACATATACTGGTCTTTTGACAAATACACTATGTGATGACAAAAAGCCTTCTGGATACTAATAGTGTTCTCCATGGAAGGAACACTCAAGTAATAAGAGTTCATAAAAACCTTGTTTAACCTTATCTTCCTTTAGATATGTAGTCCCATGAAGCAGCATGCTGATAATGTTTCTTCAACAGGAGGAGATGGCAGAGCTCAAGGCACAGCTTTACCTGCTAGAGAAGGAGAAGAAGGCATTGGAGTTGAAACTGAGCACTCGAGAGGCCCAGGAGCAGGCCTACCTCGTCCATATTGAGCACTTGAAGTCTGAAGTGGAAGAACAAAAAGAGCAGAGAATGAGGTCTCTCAGCTCAACCAGCAGTGGAAGCAAAGACAAATTGGGCAAGGTCAGGAGTCAGGTTTCCAAAATTGGTGTAAACATTATTTATCGTAACACTCCCCTCCCTGTAGCAGTCTTTAGCATGTTAATCATTCTCCTCTTTTGTCAATATGTACATCTTTCCTCTCTTCTCGGCTTGTTAGGTGGTTCATTCTATGCTGTGACTTACGAGCACTTTACAGAATTACTATTAAGCCTGGGCTAAAATAAGGTTGCGAGTTTGGGCAGGAGTACAACAAAGCCATTCTTGCTGAACATACTGGCTTCTGTGGTTGAATATGTTGTGTCTTGCCTATTGCCACTCATTGGAAACAGTGAGCCTAAGCAGAACACCATCCTCCCCTCTACTGAGCACACAACATATGAAAAAACAGAGCTTATTTCTATGAAGCAGTTAGAGCATTGTAATAACAGTCTCTTTTTCCAGGTCTGACAGTTTGTAATGATTTGAGAATGAAGACTTTTCCCCCCTTAGTATAATGCAAAATAAACAGATTTCTGCATTTACATTAATAATTTGCATGAAGAAATAGTAATACCTAGAAGAACTTTAAAACTGTTATTTTAGTGCTGTGTCCCCAGGAAACCTCAGTAATGCATTTAAAAACAAAATCCAGAGCTAGTGTATAACTTTCTTATTTGTTTCTGGCAAAACATCATCTGAATTGTTTGATCCAATGATTCTTTGCTTCAGGTGTGGTGTCAGAAGTAATACAAGGCATCATCACTTTTGCACAGTTAGAAGAATTCTGCAAATCAATGTGCTGTGGTGGTTTAGGAAACGTTTGGAAGTATTTGCAAAGTGTTAATTGGTTAGTCCAGTTTTTGGTAGGTTGATACACTGCCGTGTTGCTGTGACATTGTGATGTTTATTTTACCTCCATTTTAAAAGTAGCTTCTGACTAAGAGGTTTTCAACGTTTCCCCATTAAGCTGGCAAGTAACTTCAAACTGGGTGGCCTTTCCTCATTTCTCAGGAATGCAGCGATGGCACCGCAACACCGTTAACACTGGCTGAGCTGAGACCGTACAACGAGAGTGAACTGACGGCTGAACTGACAAACGCACTCAGGCGGTAAGCAGCTTCCTTCGCCAGAGACATGACTGGTAATGTAGGTCCAGGGCGAAGTTTAGTTCTGAGCCTTCACTCTTACCCTCAGGTGATTGTAAGAGTGATCACAGATTTTTCCTGTGAGAAGGAAAAGGATCAAAGTTCCAGCATTCCCCTCTCTTTGCTGTTGCTCCTCAGCTGATGAAAGTCCTCACATAGTGCTCAGCTCCATTCTCCTTGAGGTTCTCTAAAATTCAGATTAACTGTATCCCTAAGAAACCCTCAAATGTCAGGAATGTCCATATTCAAGGCAAGAGTGGGAGACAGTGACATGACTCACTTGAGGGCATGCAGAAAACCTCTATCGGTGACAGGATTTGAAGTGTGATCTTTGGTTAAGAGGGTAGGTCGCAGATTAGAATTTGGGTAGGAGTTAAAGGAGTGGGAATTGCAGTGATTTTGATGACTCAGATGCTGCATTTGCGTCCTGAATATGTAAGTAGAGCCACAGTTCAATTGCGAATGACATCGTTGTATGAAGCATTAGCTCTCCAACAAGAGAGAAAACTGATGTCTTGACAAACTGCTTTTATCAACAGCCAGATTTTAAACCAAAGCTTTCAGTACAGTTATACATTAACTAGATATTTGTTTGTGCAGCAGTTTTTGCTGCACCAGCTATGTGGCAAGCTTCATGACAAAGATATTCACTGTTTTGGTAGTTGTTTCAGTACTTTTCAACCTTTTCTAAGACATGGCTATTTAATATCTAATCTGATCATTGTGTTTAGAACCTGTCCAAAATGCTATTAAAAATTTTGGCTGGGAAGAATACATTTTGCTTTTCTGGTGTTTGCACCCTCTTTACTGGTGGAACGTCCTCTTGTGCAGCTGTGGTGTTTTTCATTCCTGAAGTGCTTTTTTCATAACATAGGTGCAACATTAAGTGTGCCTAGGGACTCTTAAGCCTGAAAGGCATACGTAAAAATGTAAGATCGTTACCACTGCAGAATCAATACATCTCATACCATTTGCTTAATAGTTTGGCAGTTGCTGAGTATTTAGTTTGCTTGATGCAGGAAACAAAATTCTGTGGTTAAAATAATAAAAACTGTCATTTGTGTGTGGGCGGATAAAACCCATCAACAAATTCATTTGCATAAACATTGCATAGAGCCATTGGCCTCCCCCATATCCCTCACACACCAGTCCTTGTGTGAGCAGCTCCACTGGTATTTTCTGTCTTCACTCAAGCTGCAGCTTTTTCCTGTTCTTGTTACTTGCACCTGGATTTCGGAAAGATGCCAGTGTCCTTAGTTAGTGGAGGCTTGCATATAGTCATGAAATGTGGTTTGCTGACAACACAGAGAAAAAAAACTTGGCTTTATCTACTAGACCTTAAGTTGATTAGCATGGATTTCCAGCCAGGGGCCTAGCAAGTACAGTTTGTCAGGCAGAAATGGGGGAGAAAAATAATCGGATTAAATCATACATAAATTTTACAGTGAAGATTCTCTGTGTAATGGAAATATGACTGTACTAAATGCGATTGCTACTGCCAGTGGGTCTCAAGCACATTTCTCATGAGCTGTGTGGATAAGGTATTCTTCTCCCTAATCACTGTGCCAGCCAAATCAGTCTGAATGCTTACTCTCCTTATCCTGAAGTCTTCTCTCTGAAAGTTGGCAGTAGGTCTGTCTAGCACATGGAGAAAGCTTACTGCAACCTGTTTAGCCACATCTATGCTAAAAAATGCTAGCAGTTCCTAACCACCGTCCTGGATAGACGGAACCTCAGATATCACAATGAAATTTATACCAGCATGTATCCCCAAAAGAGTTTTAAAAATAATCAAAGTACATTTTCCTCTCTTCAGGTGCTACAGCAGTGAGGAATTTTCTGAAGTGTCCGTGATATCTTTAAGGGCAAAGTGGATTTAACTCTTTGCACTTAACATATGCTGATCCCTCAGTGCTCTTCCTGCATGTGTGGGAAAATAAGTGCTGGCACTGTGTGTGAACCAGGAGAGATTTTGGTGTCTCCCTAGCACCCTTCTCACCTACCAAAGAAGCAGCACTAGAATTAAAAACAAAAAAAAAGTATTTTGCCCAGTAACTGTGTTTGCTAGGGGGCAGGAGGGAAATGTGAAACATGTGACTATTGCACACTGAATCTGTGGTCTTTAGGCAATATTTAAATGCCAGTGTTCGAGAGTATTTCAGTACTGGTTGCAGTTAGAGCTCACATCCAGCAACTGGGACCTATCTGTTGTTACTCCAGGCAGTAGACACTAGTGCAAGGGGCAGCAGCTGCAAGGATAGGGCAAAAATCGATTTGCTTTTGAGTCTTTCTGTTTGTCAGAGAGTGCGATATCAATCAGCAACACTGCTTGCTGCCCTCTCCCCATCCTGTCTTCACAGACACAAAAGCGCAGGCAGCTCCCCCCTCTACTGCTTTCCCATTCTGTCTTTCTGTTGCTGCAGAACTGTCAGGTTCTTCTCAGTTAATTGAAATAGAGCGAAACCCAAATAGAACAGCAGAATGCAGTTATGGTTGGATTTTGATGTAGTTTGGAAGCATTTATTTGTTCATAGTCTTCAAATGGCTTTGTAGCAGAACAGTCTCATCCACAGAGGTAGCCTGTCTTCTCTCTGCAGATGTGGATTTTCTCATAAATCTGGAATCCACCAGCATGTTGTAAAGCTCCCTGAGTTGTCATGGGTAGTGCCCATCAACAGAAATTCAAGTTAGGAGCAATTCTTAATTTATTATTTCCTAACATACTTATTTTGTAGGACTCGTGGTAACAGTGAGTAACAGTGTTCAGCATTAAAACCCATCTTATGGGCTTTCCATAGAAATCGCTTTTCTTTTCCATGACCACTATGCTAACTAGTAGAAATGTAAATTATCTACAAGTTCCATGTAAAATTTACATCCAGGTTACCAAATTTCTGGTATTGCAGGCTGAGGCCACTAATCTAGAGCCACATCTTGTTCCAGCCAAACATAAATAGTTTCTGCCAGAGTCTTTAGTAATTTTGTTTTCCCCTTTCTCCTTTCTTGATGGAATGATGAAACATTCCAATGGACTTGAAGCCTCTTGAGTTTTTTTCTTCAGTTTAACACATCCATAAACAAGCATGTTGTCAGGAAATACTTTACTCTTGAGAGGGTAGAAGGGTATTTCCAGCAGCCTCATGGCCTGGCACTGACACCTCAATCTGGTTGAATACCCCAAAATCAGGTACATTACACAGTCTCTGAGGGAGACCTTAAAAAAACATCTTCCTTGCTGGTATGTTCTGCTGTGCTGTGGCAGGGGAAGGAAGCACTGGAGATGACTGGTATGAGTTTATTAGTAGGCACATGCCAGGTTAAAAATGCATTAGAGATGTCAGGAAGGAGGCAGTAAGAAAAATTCCAGATAGGAAATGCTCTTGCTTTAGCAGGGTGATAGTAATAGTGATACAACTAATCTTTTCTTCTTTTCTGCTAAGTTCTTTCATTCTCTGAAAAATGGCCAAGCTGGCAAGACTGAAACTTCGTCCTCTTCCCACGCCCAATTAGAAATGCTTTGATTGTTGAGGTCGTTCTGCAGTCTCTCCTTGTATTTCCAGTTACTGATAGCTTCTCTAGCTGCATAGGGTTATATTTTGTGTATGTATTTAGAGAATCCTTTATAAGGATTCAGGTATTTGGGCAGGTAGGATCTGGCAATACTAGGTAAGAGCCATAGCAGACAGAACATTTTGTAAATAGACTGACTGTTCAGACGTCAGCTGGGTCATCAGTTGGCACAAAATTATGATCTCTGATGGCTGTGCAGGGTTACATGAATTGTGTAAGCCTAGATGTGTTTCAGTATGTCCCTTACAAAAGGATGACTTTCCACCTAGCACCACAACAAAGAGGCTATATATTTACCATGTTTGATGACTTCTGAACTGAGAAATAACCTAGTACATGATGCTACTAATAGGAAAGTTGCCATGGAGAGGGAAAAGAGTGGTAATCAGTAGGGCTGGCAAACAGTTATTTTAACAAAAAGTACATTTTGCACAGAGCTATGGTCGTGTCTCTCTGGAATTGGAAACTACAGGTATTTCTAGTTGGACATAGAAAATTCATCCTATTGCAATAACTTCCATGTGTCTGTTGAGAGACAGTAATGTTCTTTGCAATCTTGGGTCCTTATGCCTGTCCTTATGTCCTTATGACCACAGCCCTGTGTTGTGCCAAGCTTCTTGTTTCAAAAAAGCAACCGTTTCAACAGAAAGCAGCGACAAGGCATGGCTGTAAATATTTCCTGATGCAATGTCAGCCAGAGATAAATCAAGCCACCTTCCTTTATTTTCCACAAACTTCATGTGATGACATCTTAGTTTGACATGTTTTCAAGGGCTATCCTTACTTTTGTGATAGCAGGATCCAGGAGTAGGTAGAAGCATCACTGAAATTCAGGCCTATCTTGACCATCAGTAAGGCTGTCTTGGAAATGGGCAGTGAAACACCTAAAACACATCATATTGTAGCAATTCAGATTTTAAGTGGCTCTTAAGAATTGAATCAGGAAAATCCTCTTTCTGTTTGGCCAAACAGTGGATAAAAATGGGGGGAGGGAGGCAGAGGCTGGCGTTGAGGAACTACTAATGAGTTTTTCCAGTCCATTGTCAGCTGCTTTTTGTGAGTTGCATTTGCTTATTTCTGTTCTCCCATTATCACGTTCATTAAATGGGGAGATGTGCAACTCTGAGACATTTGAAAACCAGAGTCTGGGATGGATTGCAGTCATTGCAAATTTCAGTGATTGCTGTCTTTCTTTATGACTGTACAGTCTCCTGCTGTGATTTCCCTTGGCTGCGTGAGTGGTTCAGGAGGCATGGTGTGTACCTGGAAATCCCCCCAGAGACCCCCACTGGGAGAAACCTTCTTGCAAGAAGAGAAATGACTCATTGGTGATATAAGGGAGAGATTCCTCAGAAGTGCCTCGGGTAGCTATTTTTTTCTCCATGCATCACACA